CAAAAATATTACTCTCTCAACACAGCAGTATAAATGTTGGAAAGTCCACTTCTAATAATAAAAAATGAAATATCCAAAGCAGAAATAAACTCTAATGCAACAAAGTTTTGTGTTTGAGTTTGTCTTTTTCTAAATTTGACACAAAGATTTACATTTTAACTGCAAAATTGGTTGTCAGTCTCCTTGATTACTAATGGTCTGTATTGTATGTACCTAGAAAATAAACCACTGGCTCGAGAGCAGGCCACTGTGGCTTATTCTGAACACTTGGAAAAGTAGGTGTGACTGAGGAATATTCAGTTGGTTGCAATCTACATCCTCACCGCTAGATGTCACTAAAACCTATACACTGGTACTTGAAGTCAGGCAAAAAACAATGCAATACAAAGTGCAGTTATTGCTGAATTATATTGCTTGTGTGTGTGCTTGTGTGTGTGTGTGTGTGTGAGATAGGTTCTGGAGACGCTGCAGGCTCCTGTGGATAAACAGTCCTTCGATATGAAGTGCACCACTGTGGGCTCTGGAATGAGGTTTGTCATTTTACGCCTGATCTTTGTTTGTGTGTTTTAACCTAGAATGTATTCATGCACATTTCCAGGTTAGTCCCTGGAAGCAGCCATTTTCCACCAGATCTGGAAATTGAGAGCATAAACAATAGCAGTTGAATGTTTTTTTGGGTTCTTCATGCAAAATTTCATTCAGCAACAGTCTTGGCACCAAAGACGATGGAAAAGATGCCTCTTTGTAATCATCAATAGGGCAGAGGTGACAAGATAAGATCAACTTTATTGATCTTTCACTGGGAAAGTGAAAATAGAAATAAATATATAAAATGGACTATGTAAACCTTTTGCATGTGCAGCTATGGCATGATGGATATAGAAATTGATATCTACAGATATAACATTGCAAACAAGTTGTTCATAGCAGACTGAAGCCTGGGGCCTCATTTATCATCACTGTGTATGCACAGATATGTGCACAATGAGTGCATATGAACATTCCTACGCAGAGTATGGGATTTGTCAACTTGTACTCATACTTAGGTAAGTGCGTGAATATACACACAACTCTGACTATGCGTACGCACATAATCTAGCGGTAGAAGAGTGAAGATACAAATAGAAAGCATTCAGGGATGTTGACCACCGGCACCAGCGTGAGGTTGGAGATATGCGACATTTCCCAGCCATCAGTGAGCAGGATCAAGCCGGCAGTGTTGGATACCATAACGCCCTTGGCCCCAGCCTGCATCCAGTTCCCTTACAGCCATCACCAACGAGCTCAAATCAAACGGCGACTTCACGCCATTGCTGGATTCCCAAACATATGTGGAGCCATAGACTGCACCCACATCACATTCAAAGCACTATCACTCAACAAATTTAATCATGTTAATAGAAAAGGGTTTCATTTGATCAACGTACAAATAATTTGCAATGCACCTTTGTCACTATCAAACGTTGTTGCCCAGTGATCTCTCCTCTGACCCAACAGAATTAACTACAGCGGGTATCTTGTCCCATGCAGTATTTTTTCTTTCGCTGCTTACCCCAACATTCACTGCACCAAACAATATTTTCTGGTTAGCTTCAACCTCGCTGACGAGTACCTTGATTTCAATTTCACAAGAGTTCCTCTTTTTTGCCCTTTTTGCCACGATGATGACAACAGGTGAGGAAAAAATTAATCTTCACTTGCTTTATAAAGATGCGTGTTGTTGCCGTATATGGTCATTTGAAGGTGTTTTGAAAGCAAGGTGCACGACCATGGAGGTTAAGAACAAGTGGGATTTACCAACGCTGATGACTTATTGATGTTTGTACGACTCCTGTACACACATTTAATAAATATGGATTTTTTTTGTACTTACGCACACTCTAAATTTCTTAGAAAATCATGACGTGTCCACTGCCAGCCCTGTTCTGATAAGTGTAATTTCTGCGTTCATCAGTATGTACATGGTACAGATACAGCTATACAGCTGGTATCGCAGTAGGAAATTATACTTGATATCAATGTGACTTCCAAATCAGAGAGTACATAGATTCAGTGCCAATCTTCATTTTCCCTGCCTTGTAAATTTCCTTATTCTGTAGATGCATAAAGCATGGGAGACAAAATAAGTGACAGTCTTTGTCTTCGACTACAGATTTTGAATTTGGACATGTATGCTTGTGTTGTAGATGTATTTTCCAGTCAGAGAGTCTGAACCAGACTTTGGCATTGTGTCTGAAGATGGAAGTCAGCAATCCGAAGCAGTGAGTTCTTGTCATGTTTCTTACAAGTTTGCTCCTATTATCCAGTGTCTGATTGTGATATGTTTTGTTTTTTTGGACTCTGTTTACAATACTGTGGTAACTGGAACTGCAAAACCACTAACTCAATTATTATGCCTGTAAGTAAAAGTGGTTTAAAGGAAACCCCATCCATTAGCTATACACCGCTTCATCCTCACGAGGGTCATGGGGGGGCTGGGGTCGATCCCTGCTGACTTAGGGTGAAGGCAGGGGACACCCTGGACAGGTCACCAGTCTATCACAGGGCTACACTTAGAGACAGACAACCAAGCACACTCACATTCACACCTATGGACAATTTAGAATCACCAATTAACCTCAACATGTTTTTGGACTGTGTGGGAGGAAGCCGGAGAACCCAGAGAGAACCCACGCTGCACGGGGAAAAATTGCAAATGCAAGTCCACACAGAAAGATCCCAGGTGTCTTCACCAGGACGCGAACCAGCGACCTTCTTGCTGCAAGGCAACAGTGCTAACCACCGAGCGACCTTGCAGCCGTTAAAGGAAATATTTGAGATATTAGTTTATAATGCAAATTAACTCTTTAAAAAAAAAAGTGCAAAGATGACGTATATTATCACAATGCTTCAAGTTTCTTTGGAATATAGGATGCTCTTGGTTTTGAACCAGTGTGTTACTGTAGGTTTAATAATATTTTAAACTGAAATTGTTACAAAAAAAATGTTGCCAAAACACTTTTTATGACCACGAAAATACTACGAACCATAACTGTCCTGTAAGTACCTTCAATTTGGAATTTTTTCATTTGCTAGCTATAGCATTTAAGCTAATTCATTTTAGTTTTCGAAAATATTACAATTCTAGAAAGTGTGCACATACTTAAATTTTCTACCTGTTCTTTCATGTGGCTCCTAACTCATCTGGCATTCTGTGTTTTAAACCGAGCTACATTTGTTGCTACCTTTTAGCTTGTCCGAGCCTTCACCCAAAGGCTACCAGCCGGCCAGCTCCAACAGAAGGTCCCCCTGTAAAGGTGCAGAAGGCAGAAACAGCCCATATACTTCACCCAGTGGCAAGAAGTTCACTTGTCCACAAAAACAGGGCCAGAAAAGCCCAGGAACTAACAGTCCGCCATCGCGAGGCTCCTCTCCAAGCCCAAGCCCAAGACCTAGGCGCAGGTTCAACCTTTCTCGCCACAGCTCAGCTTCAGACCTTGCAAGCCCAGATGTGATCATTGAGGAGATTGTAGATGAGGAAAAAGGGCATGGTTAGTTTTGTTATATATATATCCCCTTTTGGCTTTGATTTTTTTGTCAATAATATCAGATGCCATTGGAGAAAGAAGAGACGACAAGATGTTTTCCTTAAATGCTTTATATCATTTGCAGCTCTCCCTCCTGCTGACCCTCAGCTGGCCAGTGACAAATGGAGAAACAACAGGAGAATAAAGACTCAGTTTCCTCGATGTAAGAGAAATGGTATGGGAAGGCAATTGTGTGTGTGTGTCTGTGTGTGTGTGTGTGTGTGTGATATAAGATAGGTCTTTTTTTTGTTTGTTTTTGCATAATGACTTTTTGAAGACAAAATCCTCTGAGCTCATTTTAACTGCAATATAAAGTCCTGCACCTCCATGGAAACAGCACAACAATGGCTCATACTAGAGTGAACCCCATAATAATATGTAGCATGATAAAGTTAGAATGCCAGTGTAATTCTGGATAAAGATTGTTGATATTTACTTGCTACTGTTTAGCTTAGTGACTCAGAGCTCTTGGCTGACTCTGGTAGACATGACCTGCTCCATTCTCCATCCTTTCCATCTGTCCTCTCTTTCCTTTCACTACTGTCTACTCTCAAAACTTTATCCAACGTCTTCCATTGCTCCTCTCTTGCAGTCACCCAGTGGGTAGTGGTAACCCACATTGTGAATCCAAGTCACTTCTATGTCCGCTATGTGGCTGAGAAGAAAGAAAATGAGAACCTTCCTAAGAAGATTAACCACATCTGTTGCAGAGATGGTTGTCACTTCACTTCAGGTGACATGGTGGGAAATGGTGAGTGGGTCCTTCTGGTCTCAAAATGGATGAATAAAAAGTTATTTGCATTTCCATCGTCAAATTTAAGTAATTAATAGTATGTTGTTGGTTATGTTCAAAAGTGTAGTGGATCATACAAAAAGTTGATTTGGATTATTCATGAAAGAATTCTGTATTGATTGATGTAATTTCTGGTGGCTTCATCATGTAAATAGAAAACTTGCATGACTCACTACAAAATACATCTAATATTTGTTTTTGTCCATAGTAACACATTACTGAGTTCCACTCCTTTGTGTCCACTTCCATTATATCAGAGTGGAATGAAGCATACTTGGCAGGTGTGATTAACATGTATGTTCCTTTGCACTTCTACAGGCTCCATGATCTTTGTGAAGTGGAAGGATCTCTGGTGCCGGGCCAGTGTGGTTGAAGTCCTGCAGAATGGCAGTGCGGAGGCTGTCAGAGCCTGCCCAGTAACCCAGCTTGAGGGGATCCGAGTTTTTCTTGTTGACTCTGGGTTCACCCTCAGCATCGACATACCAAGGTAAAGACACAAACACTTAGCTTACAAATGGTGCCTAGCATTTCAGGGGGGAGCCAGTTGAGGTGGTATGGACATGTGATTTGGATGCCTCCGGAGAGACTTCCTCTGGAGGTCTTCCGAACACGTCCACCTGGGAGGAGACCCCGGGGCAGACCCAGAATCCGTTGGAGGGATTATATCTCTCAGCTGGCCTGGGAACACCTCAGGATCTCCCAGGAAGAGCTGGGAAGCGTCGCCGGGGGGCAGGGAAGTCTGGAATGACCTGCTCCGCTGACTGCCCCCACGACCCGTCCCTGGATAAGCGGAAGAGAATGGATGGATGGATGCATTTCAGGGAGGCTCTATATTTAAGATGCAAAACATCAAGTCTGGACGACATGAATGTTTAGTGCTTAACAAATTTATTCGACTGCCTGTCATGAATATATAAGAAATATATAAGAAAAAAAATTTAGAAATCTTTCAAAAACTTGTGTAAAACTGAAAATGTTATTATTTATTTGGCAAATACTAAACAGTCCTTTTTCACACATAATAACCAAAAAACATAGCATCTTGTATGGCCTCCTTTGGCCTTGATAACAGCTGCATTCTTGCTGCCAATGTTTTTATGTACCTTTCAACAGTTTCTTTAGTTATTGAGTTCCAAATAGTTTCTAGCTGTTCCCACAGACTTGCTTAAGGTGAAACTTATGTGTGATCAGTCTTTACATGTGCTACATCCCAAATTTTTTCAGTAGGATTCAAATCCAGACTTTGACTTGGCCAGCCCATCAGTTCCAGTACTCTGGATTCCTTTTTCCTGGTCAAAGACTCTTGTCGGTACATAAACCCACAGCCAATCAGATTCAGTCTAGAAGGGTTTCCATGATGCACTGAGACATTCTTGTCCATGACACCATCGATTTTTCAATAATTTTCTCATGCTGTTTCCACAAATGGAGCCCCATACCACAACAGAATCTCCACCGTGTTCCACTGTGGGTGCAATGCATCTGGCATCAACACGTCCTCCAGCACTTCTGCGGACATAAACACAACAATGCTGACTGAAGACTTTAAACTTGGACTGGTCCGTCCAGAGTATCTTCTTTCAGTCATCAACAGTCCAGTGTTTGTGCTCCCTGGCAAATCTGAGGAGTTTCTGGTGTTTGCAGGTCTCAATCGTGGCTTCTTAGCAGCTATTCTTCCTTTTAAACCTTGTTCAATCAGTCATCTGCTTATGGACGTTCTGGAGACTTTCTTAGACTCTGATCTAGAAGCATTCATCTCTGCCTGAAGATCAACAGTGCTCTTCTTTCTGTCTCTGGTACTTAAAAAAGACCATCCAGCATCATGAAGTGCTTTAATGCGGACTTTCATTTTCAGTGAGCTCTCAAGTTTTACCATTTTGAAGTCAGAAATTATTCAAGCATAACATTCAATCACTAAATAAAATTTTCTGTTCAGGAATGCAAGTAAATAACTATAATTTGACATCTTAATCAAGAAACAATTATGTGCTTTACTATTTTTTCTGTCTTTTTGTAAAACTGAATTTGAAAATGCATGACTAACAACGATTATGTTTTAGCATTTAAAATATCATTTCAGTTAAAGAGCTTCTACATACTGGTGTATTAACCATTACAGAAACATAAGAAATGATTCTGGTTATTACCAATGGTGTTAATTTGGAGCAGATGTAGCATCAACCTTATATTGGGTGGTGGTCTGATGAATTTGTTTAGCACTGTATATAAGAGGCCATATATCTATTTATTCTTGCACAACACACAAACACAATTAGTGCATTTTTGGACTTTATCAGTCAGCACCAGAACAGGATTGTTTCACTTTTCCATCCTAATAACTGAAAGATGCCAAACACGATATAATATTGTAGAAATATGTCACAAAATACCTCAGCTTTTTAGTGTGCGGTAAGTTTAAAGAAATTATTCCAATAATGTATTTTGATTGAATTTGTGGCTGATGCTTAATTCACTGGAGAAGTTGCAAATCAGTATATAGTTTTTGCAATAGCAAAACATAAGTGGTTTTGAATAACTGTAAAGCATTTTTCTGTTACTGTAGTGCATTCTCTACTATTGTCTGACACTTTTTTCCAGGGAGGAGGGGGCCACTGTGACCTCACTAAAGGCTGTGAACAACCACCTGAGGAAAGTGGATGAGATGGTGAAATTGGAGCTGGGTTCCTTTGCTCCTCAGGCAGTCAGATGTTCGCTGAAAGACCTGGTCCCGTATGACCTGGTAAGACCACTGAGGTTCATTAAAGATCAGATTATAAAAACATCCGTTTCTGGCGGCATGTTTCCCTCTCTGATGATAGTTAAAGCCAAAAGCTATCACATGTCTGCCCTTAGCTTGCAAACGCAGCACAGTTTCAGAAAACACAAGCAAAAACACAATTTGTATGCTGTGTATTGCCAGTGTTACACTTTACACATCAGCGAGTATGCAGTGGTCGACTGGAGTGTCCTTGACATAAATTTTCTCATCTACGGAAGTCAGCAAATTCTGAATCTGAAGAGAAAGTGATGCAGCAAGACACCAACTCTAAGCACACAAGTTGTTCTCCAAAAAAGGGTTAAAAAGGGTGGAAGATAAGAATTTGTAATGGACAAGTGAAACATCAGACCCTAATCCAATAGAAATGTTGTGGAAAGACCTCAAACGAGCTGTTCATGTTAAGTAACCCGCCAACAACCCAGAGTTGAAGCTCCTCTGTACGGAGGAAAGGGCCATGATTCCTCCATATAGAACAGCTTCATGCTGATGTGTAAGACTGGACAGTTACCGACTGCTGTTTTTAGTTATGACTGCACAAGGGGGATCAAACAAGAGGTGGAAGCACAGGTTCTCATACTTTCGACACTCACAGATACAGATGAGTGCCAGATAAAAGAAAAAAATATATGTAAAACACCTTCTTAAGTTGTTGTGCGACCAAATGATGCCAAAACAGCTTCAAAACATCTAATTCTCCAAGACTCTGGACTCTAGGGAACAACATTCCTTCTAAAGATATTCCCTCAAGTTAGTGTTGATTGTGATGAAAAGCACTGTCTTACATGTTGGTTCAAACTCTCTTATAGGTATTCAGTTTGGTTAAAATGTGGTGACTGACCTAATTTTTCCTGGCTCAGTTAGGAAAAATGAGGAAGAATGCCCTCCCTCCCTCTTTCTCTCTCTCATTCTTCCTGGCTCAGTCAGTCCATCCGTCCATAATGAATGAAACAATCCAATCAGATGTTGTATGTTCAAATAATCAGAGATAGTACTGGTTTGTTTTTTCATCATTAACATTTTCTTTGTTTGTTGAAATTCTTTTTTTTTCTTGTTTCCTTGATTATAATACATTTTTTGAAATTTGATGGGTTTTTTTTGTTGTTAATGGGTTTTTTTTGCAAACAGCAGCAAGGATATTTTTTTCTGTGTGTATGCAGACAAGGGGCTGGAGTAAAGAAGCACAGGCTGAATTCCGCAGTGTGGTTGGTTCTACAGCTGTGGAGATGCGACCTTTGGGTCAGGACAGAGACTCTTTGTTGGTGGACCTGAGGAAAGCTGCTATGGACCAGTCCAGTGATGTGCCCATCTCTGTTAGAGAGTACCTTGTTTTCGTTGAGGTGGCCAGGTACACATGCATGTGCAAGTTAGCAGCATATTAAACATATTAGTCTTTATCAAGACTTATATTAAATAGAATTTGTATTTTTCTGAATGGCAGCCACTTTTACTGAAGCACCCTAACCTGTGGTTTTCGAAACAGGTTTTATTCTCCTGTGACTCTGGGCAGGAGGCCTCTGTTGTACTACCCTCCTGTCTATCCCAAGATCAACACAGAGCTCAATGCTGTGGTTTCCCACATAAACAACCCTGCTGATTTCTACATCCAGCTGGTAGTAACTTGAATATACATAAAGTGTAATATGTTTAAGCAAGTGTCAGATGCAAGGGATACAATTTAAGTCAAGAAAAGAAAAAAAAAACTTAGTGTGCTTAAAAATGCAATTTATAGAGATTAATAGTTTCTTAGATTCTGGAAGAAAGGTTTAACAAAAGGAGGTATAACTTATAACTATAATTTGTCTTAATTTCATCTCTCCATCCTGTCAATTTGCATCCACATCTCCACACTCCCACCAGGTTGATAACATGGAGCCCTTGTTGCTCTCAGCGAAGCTTCAGGAATGCTACAATGAAACAACAGTGGTCGGACAACTTGAGCTCAACGTCTACTGCCCTGTGATAGGACAGGCTTGTGTTGCCCGCTTTGAGGACAAGTCGTGGTACAGAGCTCAGGTCATAGGTGAGGGTGTGTGTATCAATATGCAGCAGTTTCAATGTATGCAAATTCAACCGTGAGCATTGCTTATTATTGCATTTTAATGAGTCAGTGCAGTAGTAGTTCTAGCGACATCCAGTTTTATCAGTGTCTGGCCCACTAGACTGGACTTTGTTTTGTCACATATGCAAACTGGCTGCTTGATGTCTTTGCTACGCTTGCAGTGTACCTCGCATGTATGCCAGAAATCACAAGTGATGTCTATCTCTCACACTCTCTCAGTAATATTTCTGGAAAGCATGATAGAGATACAAAAAGTCTGTTACTTTGAGTCATTTGCACAAACTTGTGTGTTACATTGTTTGACTGTACTTACCCCAGACAGCCCTTTTACTCATAATACAGTAGCTGTAAGCTAGCCAGCTACACACTGACAATTTATGTGGGAGTGTGTCTGTGTTGATGTTCAGTTCAGACTCTAGCTCACTTTAGAAACCTGTCATTTATTTATATCTCAGCAAATCTGTGTATAATAATACCTATTTTAAATTAAAGTTTGCATCCTACCAGAATACGAAGTAAAAGGGTGAACCTGAAATTTGATTCAAAGAAAGGCTTGATTCAAGTTTCATAGAGTTGAACAGAACTTTGCCTGAAAAGTTTGCAGTTGGCTGTTTGTACCATTCTTAAATTATTTTTTGTGTGTGTGTGCGTGTGTGTGTATAGGTCATCCAGGGGGAAGAAAAGTGGAAGTGCAGTACGTTGACTTCGGCAATAAAAACATCCTGTCAGTCAACGACTTGAGGAAGATCAAAGATGAGTTCTTTGCCCTTCCAGCCATGGTGAGAACATGATTTGTGAGAAAACAACAAATTCTACACCAGCTATGAGTTAGTCTCTATAATACTATGGTCAAAAAGCATCAAGGAGAATCTTATGATTCTATTAAAGGAAAAAAACAAAGATGCTGTGCGCTGCAGTCAGGCTGTTCATTTCTAATGCCAATCTAGTGTTTATTAAAATGGATCAAGATGAGTTGTTGCCCTAATTCTTCAATAGATTTGAAGGTCATATTTCCACATGTGCACACACTCTTTCAGTACATTTTCTCAGCTTACACATTTGACATACTGGACCAAAAGACAAATGCCTGTTTACAGTGCACTAAAATGTTGAGATTTTTCACAAGCAAATTATATGCACAGTTTATTTACTTATATTTTTATACTCCACACTTTTAAAACAGTGCTGGGTTAAGTCAACAGGATGTGTCTCTTCCAGGCAATCCACTGCTGTTTGTCACATGTGATCCCAGTGGAAGGAGAGAGCTGGAGTGAAGCCTGCACCAGCAGATTCATTAGCCTAGCTCACCAAAAACTGGTCACCATAATGGCTACAGGTACAGTGTGAATGGGTGTGTGAGAAGCTCTTCTCTTTAGTGTTGCACTCACTTGTCAACAAACTCTGTCATTGTGATCTTTGTTGCATTGGGATTGGGATCCAACAAGGAATGTTAGTAATTTATTGTTCATCGATTAATTGCCGTAAATAATTTACCTTAATAAAACGTATATAAATCAACATATAAACATAATTATGGATGTAATTGTGCTGTAGAATGTGACTTTGCCACGTTATTAATGGCAGGTATGTAACTATTTATTATTTCTATACAGTAACATCATGTTTTCCTTGCAGGATGAGACAAAACACAAAATAGATTGAACTCTGGTTTGTGGGCATGAATGGCCAGAGTATTTGTGGGAATAGGCACGAGTGCAACACACATTTCCAAAATGGGTGGTAGTTGTCAGCAATTCACAGTTCCATGCAGGCCTCTTGTCTATGACTTCTATCACAGCTTTCATTTTCTCCCCTGCACTACTTCAGAATCTGTCCCAAAGTCTACACCTCTGCCAGTCAAACTGTTTGAGGGTGACCTGAACGGACCCCTGAGCAACATAGCTGAGCTGCTGGTCAAAGAGGAGCTGGTCTGCTTCAGAGAGGGGTAAGACTTCTCTGGAGGTTCATCCACAACTGGTATCTCAAAGAGTTGATGACTTAAAAAGAATGCAAGAAACTTATCTAATGTAAGAGTTTAGAATTGCTCTTTAGCTACTATTGAAGAAATATTTTCTTCCAATGTTGTATACCTTTACCATTATTGTTTTATGTATGTATTGTGTATTTCTTTATCATTTTAAGACTTGGTTGCTGTTCGTAACATTTTCATGCAGTACCTAATCTGAATGAATAGAAACCCATGTTGAGAGTTTTAGTGTCATGCATGAATGCACTAAAAGCGCACATTCACTGATGACTGACTTCTCAAACATATGTGAGTGTAATTTCTTTTTGTCATACAATATCTCTATTTCACCTGTTTCTTCTCCCACTGCCCCCACTTTCTCGTCCAATTCCCGCTCTTCTCCTGTAGTTTGAAGTCAAAGAATGCCAGGCAGTCTGGTGATGACAGTGCCATATGGGACACTCCACTTCAGTTTAGTTCGACCACGGAGGAGGCTTCTGCTCCGGAACAAATAATCCCTGGAGAGAAGAATAAGGAGCCCTTTCAGCTTCAGTTGAAGTTTCCTGCTCAGCTCAAAGACCTGAAAGTCAACGTCAGCCACGTCAACTCTCCAAGCAGCTTCTACATCCAGTTGACCCAGAACGACTCTAAGCTCAAAAGGTCAGCAGATAAAAAGAGAAAACACAATTTGTAACTCCTTGAAATGAACTAGATATTGGCACTGATAAGTTATTCTTCTGATTTAAGGAAAGTTTTGCCTGTACTGCTCTGAAGAAAGCCCAGTGTTTACTAGTTTGTATGTCAGATTCTTCCCACTAGTGATGCTGAACCACGTTGAAAAATTAATTTCCTGTTAATCTGCTCGTCTATTAATCAGCAATTTTGAATACAAATTTCTTCAAGCAGTCCATTAAAAATGGTAATTTTTTACTGCTTCTGAAATTGAATGTGCAAATGACAGTGTTGCTATATTAAAACAAGTGAATTCCGCTGCTTTAGACTGTGGAACTTGGATTTTTCTCAGATCAACAATGGTCGACCATTGTTCCACAAATTACTCTGGAGAGCTAACGGTTTGTGTTTTCCTTTCTGAAACATCCTCGAATGTTGGAACTGTGCAAGCAAGCATTGTCTGAAAAATGTGCAAACACAGTCATGTTTGTATGATGTATTGCACTACAATCAGTGGCTGTGTTTTAACTATTGCCAGAGGTTATTTGAACTGCTAACATTTATGGCTTCACAATCTTTTTTTTTTTTTTTAAATGTCCGCCCATTGCAGGGTTTTAAGGCCAAAAGGTCCTGATAGCCATATGATGTTGCAGGCATATGATTGCAGGCATACTATGATTTTGTTGTGTTTTACAGGATATGTGAATTGTTGAAGCAGGAGTGTGCGCCACTGGAACCTCAGGATGTGGTGTGGAAGGCAGACGTGTACTGTGCTGCTCAAATTAACGGAGTTTGGGAGAGAGGACAGATCTTGTCTGACGTGAAATCTAGCAACATTGCAGAGGTATAAAAAAAACTGCTGCTGCTGCAAAAAAAAAACAACAGCATACAACACAGTATGTTTGGATAAATAAAGTTTATGGGTAATTTTAGTTTTAGAAATACGTGGCATCATTAATCAGTGAAATAAATATATTATCACCCGTTTAAAGGGTTTCTACCAGCGTTCCTGTGTTGCAGCATTTGCAGTTGCAGCGCATTTTACCGTCATATTTTTCATATTCTTCGTAGCTCTCCACTATTACTAGCCTGTTAACGGAAGTAGATGACAGGATTGTTTCATTTTGTGCAGAAGTGGAGTCACGAGAGGCATTAAACGCCCCCTTTTATGTAAATGTGCTCAAAGTTTGAAGCAGAAAGCCTGAGGTAACAAAGAAAGCTGAAAACCATCTTTGTGATACCTGTTCTTTCTATTTTGGGTTTTAGTTTTTGTCGAGCTGGCTTACACAAAGAAAGCCAGGCTACGTCAAACTTGCTTTGTTGCAAGGCCCTCTGTCTTTGCAAATGGGAGATAAACAAAGTGCCTTGGACTGATCCACACAGCACAATTTTGTGCATATTTGTGTGCATGCATAGGTCAAGGGACGAGGGAGGAAGAATGGAGTTTGAATGGAGGGATTCTGGCATCTGTTAACTACCTAAATATCCTAACTAGTGAAATAACAGTCTTTCAGAATCACACACTCTGCCTTTAACGGCTGCAGTGTAAGATGGCTCACATGTAAACAAAGCAACCCGTGCAGATGCACATGTTGGGTGGTTAGGTTGGCACAACTGCAGATCTCTTTTTGTTTAGTTATAATGGTGGTTCTGAACAGCTGCTTTCTTTGTTCTCTTCCAGTTAGACTCAAAGACAAGCATGTGAAATGCTGAATGTAAAAATCGTGTTTGAAAAGCTTGACTAGGCTTGTGCAGCTTACTCTGATTTGCACAATAGCCACAGTTATGGGAAATACACCTAGTGGAGACATACTGGAATTTTCCTCTGAACAGTAACATGGCTTAAAGTTTGCCTGAATTGATAATAGTAACTGTGTGTCTCTGCTGGCTGGTACCAGGTGAGACGATGTGACCATGGCAACGTGGTGAAGCTCCACGTCAGCAACCTGCGCCCGCTGCCGTCCTCCTTTGTGGGCTCCCTGGCAGTGGAGTGCACTCTGAACGACATCAGGTTCCTTAAACACAATTGCGAACACTGTATTTATTCATGTGCCATGACCAACTTGATGTTTCCATCCATAGACACAACACACACACACAGCCTCTCAAAGTATAGCTCGGTGCTTTGTTCTTACAATGTCACAAGAATCTTAAATGATCTAAAAATATGATTTTTTTTTCTCTGGAGTTTAATTTTTTAGCTGGTCTATCAGTGGTTGGGTAGGTATATATGGAATGTGTACCCCATTGTGTTATTCTGTTATAACTTTATACAGTCTTCATACTATTTTAGTACATTTTTGTATTTTGTTTTGGATGAAATGCGTACTCTACTGGTTTCCACTTCTTTCTCACTCTTTTATGGTTTCTAATTGAATGCTCATGCTTCTTTCTCTTTCAGGCCAGCAGGAGGCCGATCTAGCTGGACGGATACAGCCTGTGACATCATTTCCTACTATCTGAACGGAGCATCAGCTGTTGTGACCATCAAGGTCATCCTCTCCTTTCCTCTTTTTATGGCCCCATTTCTTTTTGATCTGTTTTTTGTTGTTAAGTAATTTACCAATTTTACTTTTTTACTTCCCACTTTGCACCTCTTATTTGTGTTGCTTGTTTTATGTGTTTGTCTCTCTTTTCTCCTCTCTCATTGTCTAGGAGTTGACAGATGAGCGTCCACTACCTGTCACTCTGTTCTGCTCCAACAGAATGGGAAAGTTTATCAGCATTGCAGACTTTCTGGTCAGTGAGGGCCTTGCCCTCAGGGAAAGAAAACCAAGGTGTGTGTGTGTGTGTGTGTCACACATAGAAATGCCTGTGCTAGTGTGTGGGATTATTGTAATTTGTGATGGTTTAAAAGCAACTTTCTTTCATTTTTCTTCAGACAACCTCTCTGTCTGATAACTATTGCTATAATTTTGACATTTAGTTTCTGATATTCCATTTCTGATTTTAAGCAAACGTGTGTCTGATGTTAGTGAGCACCTGTTTCTTTTCTAATTGTGTGTTTCTGTCATATTGCAGAGATGCTGTTGTTCAGCAACCCATAGAAACTGATGCACAGTCTCCAGTGAGCAAATTACAAACTGATGACGAGAAAAAAAACACTCCATCTGCTTCTCTTCTTTCTTCGTCCTCTCCATCCTCCCTCGTCTCAACTGATCCCACTCCAAAACCAGCCCCTCGCACCATTATGTCTGCTGAGAAGGTGATCTCACAAAACCATCTTTCTGCACCTGGATTCTTTATGAATACAAAAACTCTTACAACAACAAGACATTCAAGCAAATTTGTGCATTCATAAAGAAAAAGCTAAGCTACAATATAGCTAAAACATTATGTTAAATGTGTAGAAATATATGTGAATAAATGCGATTTACAAAATATAAACTGCCCAAGCTAATGTTATTGATATATCTGGTTGTGTTGTATGTGTTTGTTACAGATCAAGACTTCATTGTACCAACCACCAGAGCTGCCATGTCTCGGTCACATCCAGCTAAGCGTTTCTGCTGTCGAAGAAGATGGTGTCATTTATGTCAGAACACAAAATGCAGGTCCACCCAAGCGCACACTTTTTCTGAAATAAACTACATACCTCATCTTTTATTATAAAATGAGAATTTTGGCTTAGAACACAATAATCCAGCCATACTGCATGCAAATTATACTTGTGACAGCAGCTGTTGAAAACTGATATAAAATGTGAGTAGCTGTTAAGGGACTACTATGTATAGAACAAAACCAGCAGTCACAGGTTGAGGTTTATGCTATTCCTTAGAATTTCTTTTTTAATAAATGATCGTAGCTTTTTCTATATTCATTAGGACTGGAATTATAATAATAGGGAATAAAGGGCAGAGACAGTGCTAAAGAAAAAACTGTAGTTGAAACTGTTCAAATGCACCTGGATGTTCTGAACCCCATGCTCAAAAATGGAAGCCATTCACGCCTTCGCAGTAGCTGCTCCAAATCTCTACTCCAATCAAACTACTCAGACTTTATAAACTTTTAAATCAATGCTTAAGACCCTCCTTCTTTTATTGGCCTTAGATTCATGTAGAGCCTAACTTTATTGTGCCTTAACTGTCCAGCATGTTGGTACAAGTCCTGTTGCATTTGAATGTGCTTGACAAATGCATGTGACTTTGACTGTTTAATTGAAAGGGCTCAAACAATCAAATTGCAACTCACAGCATCTTTTTTTTAATTGTCTTGACTCTGTTCTAGTGCAGAGAAGAATAGTAAAGTAGAGTAAACTGTATTGTCCTTGAGGGGAAACTTCTTGGTTACAGTGCCGCAGTCTGTTACTTTGAATATAAGAATTAAAGAAACATTATAAAAACATTACCTATGTATTAAAACATGCAGAGTTTGGTTTGCGCTTAAAGTCTTTTCCTTGATGGTAGAGGTTCTTATAGAAAGAAAAAGGCCGTTGAGAGTCTGGAATTCTTTTTGTTGCTTGGTTCCTAACCGCTTGCCGATACAGGCAGGCTTGCTTTTCAGTTGTCCTGTTTAGTTGTCATACCATGCTGTAATTCAAACATCTTACAGTGCTGTGTTGAACTACTCAGTACAACTTCAGCTTGATCCAGCTACCCACTGGCCACAACGTTAATTGCTTTAGAAACTACAACCTCTGCTGCAGCCTTGTGCACTGATTATTGTCAGATGATGACCACTGACTTCTAATGTGTTTGCATTTGTGCTGTTGCATTTGGTTGAACAAATGTATCTGCCTAAAGTGGACAGTGAATGTATGTTTGTGTGTGTGTCTTTCAGAGTCTCAGCTGAAGCAGCTGAGGGAGAGGATTCAGCAGAGCATGAAGACGCTGCCCAGACAGAAGCCCTACACCTGGAAGTCAGTCCTAGGCTGTGCTGTCATTGGACCTGACATGTTGTGGTACCGAGGGCAGCTGCTGGAGGTGCTGGGAGGCCATGTCAAGGTGAGGAAACCACATGCAAAAACCCTTTTTCTTGTTATTCTTCTGAACCATGTATAGTAGATTCAGCAACCAGTAACAATATTTGTATTACACGACAAAGGCCTTTTTAGCTGAGCCAAGATTGTCAAATAGATTTTACGGTTATTTAAAAATGATGTTAAAGTAGTACAAACTTTTTTGAGTCATAAAACCTCATGTAGTGCCTCTGAATATGGCACAACTACTAAATAGTGTTAGAATAACTGCCAAGACATGTAGCATGTAGCACTGAACACAAAACAAAACTCTCCCACATTGTTAATCAGGCCAGCAAAATTATTGGTTCACCACAAACACGTCTCTGAACTGTATAAGTGATCACATGATCACAGAGGACTATCTATCTATCTATCTATCTATCTATCTATCTATCTATCTATCTATCTATCTATCTATCTATAAAAAGTAATACTTTCTTCGGTAATGTTTATGTTGGTGTGTTTACAGGTGCAGTATGTGGACTATGGCCTGGTGGAGAACATCCCGGTGGTCCATGTGTACCCCATGCTGCTGTGTGACGATGTTCCTCAGCTGTGTGTGCCGTGTCAGCTGCATGGCATCAACCCTGTAAGAATTTGTGTGTTTGTGTATCCATTAGTTCTTAGAGAAAAACAAGTAATCTTAAATTAAAATGTCCACTTACTACTGTGCATAGATAAGTCTGTGTTAGAGACAGTGTTAAGCCTATGTTCAGAAATACTGCATTCTGTGTTTGCATAAAACATGGCTCTTGTGGACCTTCATTTGCCACGTGTGGAAAATAACATTTAGGCTTGTCTGGGTGATCTGATACGTGTTACACACGGACTATGTGATAATGACATTCCCTGTTTCAGCCCAGTCAGAGGTATTTATCCCACATCACCTTTAAAAACAATACCTTTTGCAGTTCTGATTTTTGTTTTGGTTTTCAGGATTGTATTGTATTTTAATTCAGTAACAGGAAACATCTCAAAGGAATATTCTGTTAGTTTTGCATAATCATCAAACTGAGCGCTGGCAAGGACTTCATAATTCATGTACTGTCATTTTCAAATGTTTTTTTTTTTGTAAATTTTATTTCCCAGGGTTCCTCTGTTCCCAGTTCATACCAGTGTTTTACAAAAATCAACTGGAAGACCTAAAGTTTGCTCCACTTAGCCACTTCATAATTAGGAAACACACATCTCTACAAGCGTTCTCTAAAGTTGTTTTAAGAATTGTAAAGTTTATATCGCCATATGCTTTTGTATATCTTAAGTTATGGTGTCGAGAGACTTATAATGGGACAAAATAATTATCAAATCTAAATGTCAAAAAGAAAATTTGACAAATTGATTGTGTTGAATGCTCTACAAACTAATTTTATGGACTTCAGACAGATATACAGGTTTGGCAGCACATAAAGGTACTTTTTCTCTCTGCTGAACACAGGTGTGCACAATCATGTGGTGGCTGGGAGTGGAAAGCCCACATACTGACTGGTTTAAAAAAAACGATTAGTAAGTAAGTTCAGGCCTGTGAAGTAGTGATTGTTCACAAGAAAAAATAAATGAATAAATAGTGCCAACAAAGAGGCAGTTATGGTTTCTCTAGACAACTGCCTCATTAAGTTTGAGCCAGACTGTACATGAGGAGGAAATGTTGCTCAGACAAACAGAGTACATTAAATGCTTCATCATTTGCTGTCACTGGCCTGAGACGGTGGACATCTGCTGGAACTGACAGACTGCAGCAGTTGGTGAAGTTGTAAGAGATGACAAACTCTCAGCAACCAGAATTTTTTGCAGCGATGAATGGGACATATTGAGAATGCTTTTGAGGGAGTTTGAGCAAAGTTGCGAAGCAGTAGATGAATCTGTATCTGTGATGACTCGTCATGCTTTGAGCGCTCTTTTGAAAGTACACAGTGAAGAGAAATCAGTGTTGGGAATTATTCCAAAGATATTGTTTTACAAGTGTTATAAAAATTACTGCGTCTTCAAATTTAGGAAATTCTGCAAAAAGCTAAAATATGGTCGCATTTTTTGGGAACTTACAGTTATCAAATATCAGTTATTTGGCCTAAACATGCAAAACATCCACCACAAAGACTTTCAAGGTCTTAAATGTTTCTTTCTGAAGCCTTTAAGTGTCGGGTGTGTCTGGTATTAACCCACAGAGCTAGAGAATTTTTTTAAAATGAGATTGATTCATAGTAAAACATCACAAGTTGATTTTTTAGTTTTTTTTTCCTGACATCTCTGTCTCTTCAGGTTGGTGGTAAGTGGCAGCAGGATGCAGTTGCCTTGCTGAGGGAGATGTTACTGAACCGCAGTGTGGACATGCAAGTCGTGGTAAAATTACACTCAGTACCTTGTTATGGTGTGTGTGTTTGTGTGTGTGTGTGTGTGTGTGTGTGTATGTATATATAAACATTGATGTTTTACTCATTATCCAGTAACATCTTGAAATGTTTCCTGTATGACAGCACTTTGCACTAAATCACTAAATAGTGGTTTCAATTGTCAGTTACTCGACCAGTAAAGTAGGATCTGACCCCAGTGTTTGTTCTTGTGTGGTAGGAGCTGCCAGCCAACCCGAGACGGCACGTCACAGTTGAACTCTTCTTGGATGGTTTGAATGTCACGAGGATCCTGTGTCACCACCAACACGCCTTCATTGACAGCACTGTCTCATCACAAAAGGTCTGTGTGTGTTGTTTCCTGTTGCTTCTCTGTTTAATAAAATGAAGCAATGCTGAGTTTGTTGACTCAGAAATATCTGTTTCTCCACAGAAACTGGTGCCTCCTCCCCTCCTCCTAGATGACTGGGATATCAATACTGAGGTATTGTAGTTACAGTAGAGATAGAAATTGAGTGTTTAGAACAGCCACGTCAACTAAACCCTTTCAACACTAAGTAACTTTGGCCTGTATGCA